GGTGATGACTCTCCTTCAAATATTCTTCTCTTGATATCAACCTTTCCCAGACTATCACCCTGATCAACTATTGAGCCTTTCATTGTCTAATCATGTGGCAAGAAGTCAAATGCCTTCTTGTAATCAATCCTTGCCACGTGAGTTCAAATTGGTCTTCTTCCTCCTCTTATAGTTTTCCAGAATCATCTTGTTAATTAGGATCTGATCTTTTGTTCCTTTGCTGTTTGGAGAGTTTCCTCTCTGCTCAAGTGAAAATAACTTGTTTTCAATAGGTACTGTTGGACTGCATCAACTATCACACCAGTTAAACATTTGAAAGTTGATTGTAAGCAGGTAGGCTGGTGCTGCTTCTTTTGCTGGGTCTTTCATTATCAGGTAGGTTTTAGCAGATATTAGCCATTCAATTACACCTCCATGCAATATGTTAAACTGCTTGGCAATGAATTCAGTCAAACCATATAGTTAATTTTCACCTGTGCTGACCAATTCTTGCTGTTTTCTCCACCATTTCTGCTGTTATTACAACTTCTTTCACTTCATCTCTTTTATTTTTATCCACTTTTATCCAAGCTGCATTCTTGTTGTATTTCTTTGGATTGTACCACAGCTGTGCCCAGAACTGCACTATTTCTTTTTTGTCAGATGTTGACTGGCTTGTTGCAGTTTCTTCATTCAGGAAATTGGAGATTCTGCCTATATTGTGGAATTTGAGCTTTGTATCAGCTGATCTTCCTGGCTATAGCTATTATTTTCCGCTTTATTATTTCCAGTGCTTCCTTGATCTTTCTTCTTTCTAGATGATATTTCTTAATCAGATATTCTTTGGTCTTCTGGTTCTTACAGCTTCTTTTTTTTCATCTGTTGTAGCCTACTTACATCTGATCTTAGCATGCTGAACTTATTTTTCAGCCTGGTCTTAAATTTTGGTGGCACACTATATTTGGCATTGGTTTCTGTAAATTATGTCTCACCACATTGTTTATGGGAGAGACACTCTTTATCTGGCTCCTCTGATGAGACCTGTCCAGTATGGTTGAACCTCTGGCACAGCACTCATTTTCCTCAGAGCACACAAGCCCACAATTATGTCTTGGTAGTGCCTCACTGGGGGTTTATTATTAAAGTCTATGTGTCTGTCTATGTGTATGCATATTTACATGTAAAAAATTTAGCTGTGAATTAAGGCCTGTAGAATCAACATTTTTTTTTGTTTTTCTTTTCTCCCAATTGTTTTCTTGTTTAACTCCTTAATTTTAACCAATTAAATTATTAGCTAGTTAACTTCTGTTGTCTTTTGATAGTAATGGTGTCATTCTGACAGGAAATTTATACTATTGTACATCCTTCTGCTACTTATGAAATGGCAAGCAGCTGAGGAAAAAAGATTCCATTTACCTCTTGCTTAGTAAACATGCAGAAAGGAAATTTCTTTGTAGAATGGTGATGACAAGCCCCTTTGCAAAGTGTGGTGGATGTGACACTTGGGTTTTGGGAGGAAAGAACATAGGGATCCTTGCTTGAGGGAGCTAGAACAGCCAACCTACCATACTGCTGTATGGGTGCTCATATAGGTGCAAATTCAAATATTTATTCACTTAGTGCAATTTAATTTATTTTAACCAATTCCATTGAAATATTGCTGTTATAGTTCATATTGTTCTATAGGATGCTGGATAGCCTTGGAAAGAAAAGGAAGATATAATTCAGAATAATAGCATGTATGGATTATTGTTTAGTAATGCTCTGCTTGGGTCCAAATCAAATAATGTAGATTAAGGGATTTTAAATAATAAAATAGCTGTGAGGATCTGTAAAACGAATGCTGCAGTTTCCTTAGTAAGTTTTGTAACTATAATACTAAGTTGTCTGCAATTTGTCACCATTGTGGTTGCCATTATGCATGCAGCTTTGATGCTACAATCAAAAATGCAAGAGTGGGCATCTCCCTATCAACAACCACCACCGTTGCTGCAATAGATCATAGGATTTATTGTACTTAGCACACTCTTTGACAGCACAACTGATTAGATAATGGCAGGAAGCTGTATCTTAGGGTTAGGGTCCCTCCCTCCGCCCTTGATAGCTAGCTAGTTTGTCGAAAACAATTTTTGTTTCCTGGGTGAAGTGAGGACATTTGTATCCCATTATATGAAATTTATTATCTCATATGGAATTCATTATTTCCTGCTATAGGAGTTATAGCATGTTGATGAGGTTGCCTGCATAAATCTTTGATTAGGGAGCACTGGCACATATTTAGGGATAGTGGAGCATCTTTATTTTCTATTTATTTATTAATAACATTTATATGGTCACCCAACTCACACATGGTGACTTCAGGCGGCTTACAAAAGTAAAACCTTAAATACCAAACCGATTAATTCCGCTGGGTATGGGATGTCTTTCATTTCCTGGCCTATTCAGCTGATGTAGTAGTGGCATATTCTCAGTTGAACCGTGCCCCAATATAACATGAACAGAAGATCTAGAATTGTTTGCCAGTCTCCCCCAGATGCCCAGTTGTCTAATCTAAGCCAAAGAATGACCCAGTGAAATCCAATCAAATCCAGTTCTTTTATTTGCTTATACCTAATAGAATCTCACCAGACTAAAGCGATAACCTTCTAACCTAATAGATATAGTATGGGATATTCTAGGGCGTGGCTGCTCTAAACCTCTTCCTCCCTCCCCCATCCGGTTCAAGACTGCACAGTCTCTTATCTTGGGCCCTTCTCTAGAACGTGCCACTCCTCCTGGGAAGCCACAGTGTGATGCTGAGATTCCCCTCAACTCCTTCGGCAATTGCACAGTCCATCACACTAGCAGACGCATTAGGACTATAACTCAGACGTCAAGATGAGCAGTGCTCTATTGGTTAAGCATTCTGGGATTTGTAATTCCAGTGCACTGGAAGGGTAGCAGTTGAGAAAAGCTGTTCTGCAACAACAAGGAATAATAATTCACTTGTCCCTTGTTGCTGTCACTTTTACCAATGTAATTCTTCTCTTTTTATATACCGGTAGTTAAACAGGTTTTCCATCTAATATTTCAAAACATTTCAAAATACGCCTCTGTCTTTTATTTATTCAGAATTTTTAGAACAGAATACTCCCTGGGCTAGCACGAGATTAGCAGTATTATAGCTATAACTAGTTAAGGGTAGAAGAAATATTTCAATGTTCAAAGGGCGGCTCTCTCCCAAGTAAATTTAACACCAGTGTTAAAAAATTAACTTTCATCTGTATTTTATTTATTTATTTATTTATGAGACTTATATACCGCTTTAAGTGCAAGCACTCTCTAAGCGGTGTACACCAGTAAGCAATGTATATATATATTTACATTGCCCCCAACAATCTGGGTCCTCATTTTACCTACCCCGGAAGGATGGAAGGCTGAGTCAACCTTGAGCCGGTGAGATTTGAACCGCTGACCTGCTGAACACAGTCAGCTAAAGTGGCCTGCAGTACTGCACTCTAACTGCTGCGCCACCTCGGCTCTGCTGCACTCTAACTGCTGCGCCATCTGTAATTGGAATTATGTCTCATTAGATTAAAAATATAAATTTGTATGGTACCTGCACCACCGATGATCAGTTAGCTTTATCACTCTTTATTCCTTCCGTACAGATAACGTTTTAATTTTTATTTAAAATGTATGATTGCCTCTAGGAGTCTAGGATATACATTTTTCTTAAATGTTTTCATCATAACATTTTAGCATTACGCTATCCCCACTTTCTCTTGAAGCAACAGCTATGGAGTTTTCTTCTGTCTAAAAGTGATTGATGAATCCTGTGCTGGGTGTTGTAACCTTTTCTTGTGCTAAATGGCAAAGATTTTGAAATATCCCCTCCAGTGAAGATTATTTCCCTCATATCATAAAGTTAGGATATGTCCAGATATCAATGAAAGGTGTTTTTTATAAAAATGTACTTATGTTTACTTTCAAAAGCACAAACCAGATTGTTTTCAATTTATATTGTGCAGTGTGTGAATCAGCAGTGCTAGGCTGGATAAAGATAATAGTTGGGGTTTTCCACTGAGTTGAAGGTGGTTCAAAAGAAAGGTTCTCATCCTATTTCTACTTCTAGTAAGCATTTATTTTTAAATGTTATAACTGTGAAATGTGCTTAACCAGAATTACCTGTGGGACAAAAAAAGGAGATGTAGTATATGCCATAGGAGGCAAAGTGTTTTTCAAATGGCTTTCGCTTTTTAAAAGATTGCCTATTTCCATCTTAGGGTATACCAGAAAATAGAACCGTATTTGCTTATTTGACTCCTTGACAACCTTTCAACTACTTAAAAGGATTTAGTTTGTCAATGATCTTGTTTCCAAATAGTGTGCCTGCTTATTAAAAACTGGCTTCATGGGATATCTAGACACTAGGCCAGACATGTCAAACACAAGGCCTGGGGGCCGGATGTGGCCCACAAAGTGGTTTCATGTGGCTTGCGAAGCCATCCTGGATTGGCCCTGGCCCAGGCCGGCCGGGAGGGAGGGAGCCAATGTACAATTTTGTGGTGGCCATCTATGCTGAAACGCATTCAGTCTTAGCTCCACAAAGCTGTCTGGAAACAGCGAGGAACCAGCCCCTGCTGTGTCGGCCCCGCCCTCTGGATGCATGCTGGGGAGGTGTCACCCTTCGTGAAGCATGAAGAAATGGACCATGCCTTGGCGCTTGCCCCGGTCCTACCCCTTTCTGCCAGAGACCTTCAGATCTGCCCCACTCCTGCCCAGGCCCCCACAGGGACCCTTGACGCGAACAATGTAGAGCTGGCCATGCCCACCCAGTAGGCCACACCCACTCCATCCACGCCCACCCAGTAGGCCACACCCACCCTGGCCACACACCCCCCCCGAGGGCAACCGCAATGCTGATGCGGCCCTCAATGAAATTGAGTTTGACACCCTTGCACTAGACAGTGCTGAATTCTGAGATGTGAATCTTGTATATCTTCATAAATTTCTGCCTTTTACTTCTGCTGTGTTCATAGATTCCAATGGGCTTCGTATATGGACTTCAAACCTTGGAGGTAGCAAGATACTCAGCAGAAGGTAAAGAGGAGTGCTGTCTTCTGGCATCATAATGTGTGCCTGTGTGCGAGTGTGCACTGAGATAGTACTGTGCAGTCCTTGAAGGTGAAAAATAAATACATGTATAACATCGGGGTCCTGGTTAATGGTCAGTCATGTCATTACACTGCTTGTTTGAGCTGTTCATATAATCCATACAATTAAGAAGGCCCTTTCGTTGGTATCTGCTCTAACTCTGCATTCCATTCTAAAAGGGTCCACTGGCAACAGTTAGGAATAAAGGGGTAGAATGAAGGGAGGAGGGGAAGACAGAAATTTCTGATGTATTTCTCACATGCATGTATACCTGCCTGTCTCTTATTTCTGGGTGGATATTTATCTGAGGAGTTCTGGAACCATATAACAAGTTAAACTAAAATCAAACATGTGGTTTAGCACGATGCATGAATCCAGCCTAAATAAAAGCTGAAATTCTGCACAATAAATATATGTTATATTGGTTCGTACTCCATGTGACTTAAAGTTGCAGAATTTATTAGACTCTTTCATTCCTTACACTTTGTTAGCACTTAAATCTTTTCTTAATATAGAAGGGAGAAATCTTTTGAAATATTTAATTTCAAACCCTCTGTATTTATTGCAGTGTGAGATTTGATAGAGAACTTTGGTGATAATCTCTCTTACATTATCCTTGAACTGAGATATTTTAGTCGCTTTATATATGAACTCATCAGGAACCAATAGAAATAAATATTCTTTTCTTCAGTGATAATGTTTTAGTTTCAATAGCTGCTGTGGGTCTGCTTTTACTGTAGTAATTGCAATTAAAGACTGATGTGACTCTGGCTATGTAAAGAAATTTATGGCCAATAATGAAGAGTGGTTGCTTATGATAGCGTCTGAATTGGGCCATTTTAGGGCTGCTTGAAACTTGATGTTATTTACATACCATTTACATACAAGAAAACTTTTAAATAATATGCAGAGCAGAACTTAGAATAGTTCGTTGCATGTAGAATTTCACTGCATATACACAGGTGGTTGTGATTGAATTTTATTTCCTGAGGTAAAGGAGAACCATAAACATAAATGTGTTTCAGTTCTTTTGGAACAAGCACAGGGAACTTATTTTTTATTGTGATTCTAGGTGCTCAGGTATGCATCATCTCTCTTGTCTTGCTGCTGAAATGTACCTCTGTGCCCAAGTATGTAAAGCGTATGAAAAAAATATTCTGCAGAACTGCAAAATAAAGATGGTTAGTTATTTTGTGCTTTCAGCTCTGTAAAGAATTTTTACTGCTCCATACTGTGTAACAATTTTCAGTGCACATTATATCTGCAAGAAGGGTGAAGTCATTAGTTTTAGGAATTCCTTTTACTGACGAGAATAGAATTGGCTTCAGAGGTGACACTCTCAGCAGGAAATTATTTTAGGATTGCAATAATAGCATGTGGTTGAACAGCTTTATTAGAAGTTTAGAAGAACTGAACATAAACCAGAGGTTCTTTTAGGCAAATTCTCTGCCCTTAAGGCAGGCTCCCTCAGACCCCTTTTTCCTTTAACTTCCCTAATCCATATTGTAATGTTCTACAGGATAGCACTTTTGAATATCATATCAGGTTACATGCACTCAGATAACCCAGTTTAACTTAGAAAAGGGAAATACATTGTTATTACCTGAGCTGAACTGGGAACTGTGTTATTTCAAATAAATATTATCAAAATCTATTGTTTTCTAGTGAAATAGATTGTGGGATTGAGTGCTATAATATGAGAGGGAAAATCAAGCAAACATGGATTGCAATAACCCACAGAGTTGGTTTCTTATCTCGGAATACCTTGCCTGGCATGGAACTACAGTATGGTAGTTTTGAAGCACTTTTGGGATACCACTTGGCCAAATAGACACAACACTCAAAATTGGGTAAAATGAAAGTCGTAGTATATGACCCTGACAGATTTTGGGACTTCGTTTTCACTTAAGGTTTATTACAGATCTACTTTAAACTAGCTTCCTTTTGTCTAGATCAGGGTTTTTCAACTTTTTCACCCATTGTACCACTTTTAGGATATGGCAACATCCGAGTACCACCAGTCACCTAGCAAGGTGTCAAAAACTTGATGACCACCCCAAAAATGAAAAAAGTGATAAAGTACAGGTAGTCCTCAATTTACAACAGTTTGCTTAGTGACTTTTAGAAGTTAACAATGGCACTGAAAAAAGTGCCCCCCAAGCCACAGCTGAGTAAGACACCTGCCTGCCCACCTGGCGGCACTCTTCCTCCTGTCCAAGGTTTTCATTGTTGTGAGCATTTCTATTGATTGGCAGTGGGGGTGGGGTGGGTGGGTGTTTGGTTTTTATTCCCCCCGTCTGCTGGGTGGTTGCAGCAGGTTTTGGTCAATTCATATGACCCTGGGACACTAACCGTCATAAATATGAATCAATTGCCAACATCTGAATATAAATCACAAGACCCTGGAGATGCTGCAACATTCCAGCTGATTGGCGCTTCTTCTGGGCTCAGAAGAAGCACCAGGATCAATGCCGCTTTCTAGCTGATTGTTCTTCTTCAGGGCTCAGCAGAAGCACCAGGATCAGCGCCAAACTGCAGCTGGAGCCTGCGCTGATCCTGGCGCTTCCACTGAGCCCTGACAGCCCCGAAGAAGCGCTGATCAGCTGGAAAACGGCACTGATCCTGGCGCTTCCACTAAGCCCTGACAACCCTGCAGCTCCAGCCATCTCTCGCTCAGGCTTGTGCGGTGCTGCCACTGGTTCAGTTCATTCCCCTCCCCCGCTACCACTCTTCTAGGATGGTCGCGTACCACCTGCAAGGTGCCAATGTACCACAGGTGGTACCTGTACCACTGATTGAAAAGCCCTGGTCTAGATGCTCATGCTAGGATAACTTTCTGTTAATGAAGCTAATCCTCTGTTCCGGTCTCTAAAAACAATATCCTTTAATTCTTAGATTAAAGCATGTTGGAAACTAGAGATCTATAAAAAGAAGCTTTCTTGGTTTGGTGGCAGATCATTTCAATTTCTAGTGTTCTACAGATGAAGAGGAGGGGTGGACTAATTCTTTTTCATTAATTTTAATATGAGAAAATAAAATGAAATTAAATAAAAAAGTAGGAAAAATAGTTGCAAAAAATACTTTCCTATTTAGTCATTCATCTTGATGGAAGAACGATCAAGTGTGCCTGCCTATTTGCCATGTCTTCTCCCCAACCTGCAACAGGTGCAGAACATCCAAGGCAAGAAAAAAATAAAAACAGTTATAGAAAACAATATTTTGCTTAAAGCACAGTCGGTTACTTATCAGCCATGTGGAATATCTCTGTGGAGCAAGGTATTTTTCCCCAAATAAAACCACAATTCTGTGGATAACCATTATGCGCAATTATACTTGATTTTAATAGTAGTTTGTTATATTATTTTAATTAGATGCTTAACAAAAATTAAAAATCTGCATTTTAAATTTTAAAATACTTTTATGTGAGGGTAGGTTGTAAAAGAACAGTATCTTTTTAGATTCATGTCCCTCCTGGCTGGTTAAAACTTCCAGGATGGTGACTTCCAGGTGCGTCCAGACAACAACAATGCCTTGGTCTGCCCCTTCTTAAGAAACCATCATTGGACCTTACCTATCTGGAGAATTTTTTCCAGTCTTCCACCTTTCTTTTTGGGGGAAGGTGCTGCAAATGTGGTTGTGCTATATAGCTCCAGAGGGCCCTGGAGAAAATCAATTATCTGGATCCATTTCAATCCCATTTCAAGCTTGATTATGGGACAGAAGCAGCATTGGTTGCACTTGTAGATGATCTATGGCAAGGGCAGGATGGGGGATAGTGCATTCATCCTCTCACTCCTTGATCTCTCAGAGGCTTTTGATACTAATGACCATGGTATCTTTTTCGGGTGCTGCGGGATTTGGGGCTAGGCAATGCAGTCTTGCACTTATTTGGTTCCTTTGTCCAGTACTGGTCCCAATTGGTGTTGATAGGGATTCTGAGGTCCATCTGAAGGTCTCTCTTTTGTGGTATGCCACAGGACTTGGTACTCTTTCTGCTCCTTTTTAATAACTACATGAAGTTGCTGGGTGAGATCATATTTATTTATTTATTTATGAGACTTATATACCGCTTTAAGTGCAAGCACTCTCTAAGCGGTGTACACCAGTAAGCAATGTGTATGTATGTGTGTGTGTGTGTGTGTATATATATATATATATATATATATATATATATATATATATATATATATATATATATATATATATCTTTGGTTGTTCGGGTTTCTCCCACGTAAAATTGGAAGTGTCTTGGCGACGTTTCGACGAAGTCCCATTCGTCATCTTCAGGCTGGTGCTTTCAGCTTCGTGCCTCGAGCAGCAGTGTGTGGTCTTAGAGTTTAAACCCCCAATCCATACATGAAGCCAAACTGACCCCTCATGAAGAGGGAGGCACGGACCACGACGCGAAGCCAGAAAAATAGCAAGGCAGCCCAAAAATCTTAACCCTCGCCAACTCAGACTAACCTGAGCACAACCAAACAGAACACTCCCCCAGCCAATCAGAGCACAGCCAAGCCCCTAACCATCAGAACACACCTCCACCCAATCAGAACACAGCCAAGCTCCCACCCAATCAGTTCATACCTCCACTGGCAGTTAAAAGGAAGAAACAGCCAAGACCACACACTGCTGCTCGAGGCACGAAGCTGAAAGCACCAGCCTGAAGATGACGAATGGGACTTCGTCGAAACGTCGCCAAGACATTTCCAATTTTACGTGGGAGAAAACCCGAACAACCAAAGACCTACATACAAATACCCGCGAAAACCTCAGAAAACAAATATATATATAATTTTTACATTGCCCCCAACAATCTGGGTCCTCATTTTACCTACCCTGGAAGGGTGGAAGGCTGAGTCAACCTTGAGCTGCGCCACCTCGGCTCATCATATGACACCACAGGATTAGGTATTATGAGGTTATCACCTTTAAATCCATTCATGGCATGGAATCAGGAAGTGAGAAAGTCTCTTACCAAATGCGATTGGCCTGCCCCGCTCGTTCTGCCAAAAGAGGCTTGCTGCAGTTAAGTAGCACCTTTTAAGAAAACAGCCTTTTCTGCTATAGCCTCTGCCCTCTCCACCTTATTACCAAAGGTGAGATCTGCCACCATTTTTTTTTTTTTTGCCTTCTAGAAAGGCCTTAAAACGGGTTCCCATCCGGGGGTGTGAGATAATATTCCAGGGGGTGCGAAAACTTGGGTTTTCAAAATTATAGATGTATGTGCTTAATTCATTGCCGTTGTTTTGAACTTTTGTAAAGGGTGCGAGAATATATCAGAAACGTTGTAGGGGTGCGGGGTATAGAAAAGGTTGGGAGCCGCTGCCTTAAAACCTGGATCTGCTGGTTGGCTTAGGACACTGATGGGGGTGTGCTATTCTTGGAAGTGGTAGGTGGAGTGATAGACATGATCCCATCCCTGTACCCTTCATGCTCTTAGTTTTTAGTCTTTATTTAATTGTTGTTAATTTTAATGCTTTTATATTTATGATTTTATGGCACTGTGAGTCACTCAGAGTCACTTTGGGTAGTGAAATGGGTAGCATATAAATTTAATAATAAATAAATGAAATCAACTTCCTAGCCCTTTTTTTATTATTATCCCTAAATTGGTGCATTTTTAGAAAGTGACTATTGTAAATGGAATTCTGTAAATAAATTGAAATTACAAGAAGCACGACTAAAATTAGATGTTGTATTCCTAAACTGATTCCTAACTAGACCAGAAAATTAGGAGTATAAAAGCTGATTGCAAAGACAAAATTTGCTAGTTACTTTAACAACTGTTGTTTTGCTGGACAAGATGATTTTTTTAAAAAAAGAATGTAAACTATTGATATCGGAATTCTATTGTGAATGTTGGGATGCTCTGGTATATTTACTCTTTGATTTTCCTTTCTATTTAGAAAAATATTTTTCTGGTTACGAGAAAACTTCAGGAGGGAAGAGAGATTCTTTTTATTATATTTTATAAACACCATATATATTTCTCCAAAATATTTGGATACGATTGCTTTAAACATTGCTTCTGGAATATTATTTTTAAAAAATATGCTAGTGCATAGATATATAGAAGTAATTCTTGTTTAGAGACCACAGTTAGGATCAGCAACTCAATTGTTAAGTGAAGCAGTTGCTAAGTGAAACCAGAACTGTATTTATGATTGTACTTCAGCTTTAATTTGCTTTACAGATCTGTGAGGGTCATAAAGGATTGATTGTAAGATTACTTTTTCTTCACCTGCATAACTGCAAACAGTCATTAAACAAAGCAGTTGCTAAACAAGAACTACTGGTACCGACATTTTACCTTAATATCTAATCATTGGTACATTTTTGTGTGTGTGCCAATGCGATTTGGTTGTCTTTAAAGAGTGCAGGCAAACATATGGGTGGTACAGTTATTTTTAATTAGACATTTGTTTGCCACCAGCTTGTCAGCTACATAAAAACCAGTCTTGCCTCCGCTCCAGCCAAATTCATTTCAAATCTGAAAGAGAAAAATATCTGAAGTCAGCATTTGTTCTGACAAACCTTCAGCTTTTCTTAGATTCTGTGCATCATAGCCATGTTTGCAGAGGCCATACCAAAGCAGAAGTCAACAAACTCTTTCTGGATCTTCAAAGATGAATACAATCCTTCGTTGGTTGCAAGTTCAAAATTTCTGGAAAAACTGAAGATGTGGTTAGAAAGATTTTTTTGAGATAGAAACTGAACATTTTCAAGAAGTTAGAAAATTAATAACACGGTTGTTAAGTGAATCTGGTTCTCCCATTGACTTTGCTTGTCAGAAGGTCGCCAAAGGGGATCACATGACCCTGGGACACTACTACGGTCATAAATGTGAGTCAGTGCCCAAGTGTCTGATTTTTGATCATGTGACCATGGGGATGCTGCAACGGTCATAAACGTGAAAAATGATCATAAGTCATTTTTTTCAGTGCTGTTTGAAGGTCATAAATGAACTGTGTAAGTTGAAGACTACCTGTAAAACCTTTTTAGAAATATATAGATATCTGCTATACTATATTATACCAATAAATTGTTGTATAGACCAACAAAATAAATTAATATGAGGCATGAGTTTTGATTGGTATTAAATCAATAAAAATATTTTATGACTAAAATCAGTGTTCCTAATAAAGGTAACAGGAAATATACATACATGCTCACCATTTGGGGTTATAGATTTTATAGTACATTTTTGTAACAGACTGGCTCAATTTTTAATAACAGTTTACAGAATAAAAATAGCATGCTGGTACCAAAGTTTCATATAACATTTGCAACAGTATATTGGCATACTATACCTTTGGCATAGTCAAATTCCCAAAGTCTGATGTATGTGTTGATAATGCAGCAGAGGAATAAGGTTTTAAAAAGTTGGTGTTGAGGTTAAATAAGGTAATATTTAAACTGCAGATACAAACAATTCCTCTATGTCTACTTAATTATAATATTAAAAATGTAACTCTTGAGTATGTTACATGTGCCAATACAGTTCTGTTAATGGCAGCTATATTATATATTAATTAAATTTAGAATTCTAATACTAGCTTACCAGGAGCCAGCAAGAAAATGAATACAAAACAAAATTAGAACGACTGTTTTGGAACAGGTTGAATGGAATTTATGTAAAATCTGTGATTGAGTAGAATAATATTTTGGAGTACTGAGTGGGATTATGCATATTGCAATTTTATGCATATTAATTGAAAATAAATCTAAATTCACCATTAAATTTTACCAGACTTTCTGCATTGTAACCGCTGCACTACTGCGGCGCCTAAAAAGTATTCATTAAAACAATTAACAATTACACAAGAAAAAGGTGTGCATTTTACTGTTTCCCTAAGTACTGGGGGAGTGGAAACTTCTGATAAATGTACATAGAAAGTTGTGCAATATCATATCAAACTTTTTATCCATCTGATTCAAGATTTTGTACTTAGATTCTGTTTATACACTATATCTTAGGTATGGATCTATCTTATCATCTGTTTGGTACCTGATTTTTTAAAATTAACAATGCCAGGAACATAGAATCTTTGGATGTAGAAGTTCCGCATTAGAGTAATTGGATATATAGTAGTGGTAACGGCATCACTTTTTAAAGTCACAACGGCACTGAAAAAAAGTGACTTACGACTGGTCCTTGCGTTTACACCATTGTAGCATCCCCATGGTTAGGTGATCAAAGTTTGGGCACTTTGCAACACTCGTGTATTTATAACAGTTGAAGTATCCCAAGGCCATGTGATCATCATTTGCAACCTTTCAACCAGCTTCTGACAAGAAAAATCAATGGAGGAAGCCAGATTCACATATGATTTACTTAGCAAGCATGGCAAAAAAAGGTTTACAATCAGGTGTGACTCATTTAACAGGTACATTGCTTAGCAATGAAAATTCTGGTCCAATTGTGATTGTAAATCAAGGACTACTTGTATGGACTGTTGTCAGAGGCCAGAGTTTCACTTTGAAGCGCTCCAGGTCAAGTGAAATGTTAAAATTAAACAAAAATGTTTTAATATTGCTGTTATAAGCAAGCTGTTTTGTTAATGTCTGTGGGTGCTGACAGAGTGCTGCTAATTGCCAGTCCCTTGGCAATATTGTCTTATTCAGGGCAAGCATTCCTTCCTACACCCAGTTTTGCTCCACCCTTGCCAACATTGCCATCATCACTGTGTTTTCCCACATCTCTAATTAGGAGGGCATTTTGATAATTATCACTTGAATAATCAGGTGTTCTCATTAGATCGCAATATACACTTTATTGTGGTGTTTTTTGGGGGGTTTTTGCCTATCGAAAAGCTGCCTGTCAAAGTGATAATTGGTTATGGAAAAATAGAACGGATCATTAACTGCACTGTACCATCAATTAGTCCATTATAAGAGGATAGAGATTAAGCTGGGTAAGTCCTGTTATATATTTCAAGTGTTAATAAGTCTTATAAAATTCACTTTTTTCTTGCAGAAAAGATGAAAAAGAATATGCACTGAAACAGATTGAAGGCACAGGGATATCCATGTCGGCCTGTAGAGAAATAGCAGTAAGTGAAACCAACAAAAGTATTTAACTCTTTCTACAATTAACAGCATGGAGAGAATCCAACTAGTTTCCATCACGGGAAAGCTGTAGTGCAATGCATCCGGCTTTCTCTGCAGAAAGTCCCATCTGCAATACTTGGCATTTAATTGAGAAATTGCTAGGCTAGTTGGAACAACAATCCAAATTAATATGTAAGGCAGCTTCTTCTGTTTCTATTTCAGCAGAGAAAGGGAAAGAAACTTAGTTTTTCCATTATAAACTGCAATATACATTTCAATGCTGCTCTGGATTAGTTAGGAATGTGCAAAGTGGATGAAGTCAGATTGAAGGTCAAGGAGTATTGCCGAAATCAAGCCCATCCCTTATCAGTCAGTAGAATCTGGCACTTCTAGAGGGAAACTAGCTGAATTTTGCCATGTTAATTTTTAATTGTTCTGCTAAATGTCAATTTTAAAAGTCTCCATAAATTTGAACATACTTGGTTCAAATGCCACATTTGACAACTATGCCTAAATAGCGTGGTATATTTTAAATTCAGATTTAAAAGTTACCATGCATACAATAATTCACATTTAAAAGATACCGAGATACTTAAAAATAATTAGATTAATTTTCTAATCTTTAAATTTTAATAGAAAATATTATTAGTGTCCTAATAGCTGTACTATTAATTCATTATTATTTTTAATTTTTTAGGAGATCTTATTTCTTGGTATATTTCAGAAAAGTGCAATATACAATATTTAACTAAACTAAAGAAATGAAAATAAAATAATGTGGATTTGGTTTAGGTAGTAGTGACTCTAGTTTCCAGAAAACTTACAGGATGCTTTCTATTTATTTAGTAATTGAACAATATAATTAACTTCAATAAACCCCTAATTGATGGAACATGTAAGAGTCTGTTAAATCAATTAGCGATGTAATTTAAATACTGTGCATATTTTTATTGTTTGTGTAATGCTGTCATTACACAACGTTGTAAGTTGATAAATGATATAACGTACATAAAATGTCTGGATTATTCTGAATACAAACTGACATTGTTATTTTGGGATGATGCCTGGAGGTACATTTTATCTATTAAACCAGAATTTTTCTAAATCAAGGATTGACTGCTTACGTGCACTGTTTTATTTGTACCACTTTATTATGTGCGGTTGAATGCATTAACATATAGTGCATTTGAAGGGGTGCAAAATGCTCTGTAACATTAAGTCTGTGACAGATATGTTATATATGTATATAACCTTCTGATACGGCATTTGGTTAGTCTGTTTCATCAGTCCAACAAATAGAATAGACAATAAACCTTGTACATCCTTAAAGAACATTATTGCATCAGCATTTATGACCCTGATTTCATTTCAGCAAAATCTTACTCTGTAGGATTTAACGAAGGATGTGTTAGCCAATCCTAAGATTGGTTAAAAAAAATCTGAAGTGATATACAAATAACTTTTTCTAGGATTTATAGAATTGTAGAGATAGTTGGAGGAACTCTTCCCCATCCAAAATTCTCCATATGTGTTGGGAGTTACAGTCTGGACGATACCAATTTGAAAAACCCATTACTGTATACAGCAAACTATGGGTTGCTGTTTCATGACTGTTTGATTAGGAAATATGGAAATATGTCTATCTTATCCAATCAATCAATCAATTATATATGGCTGCTCACTCATCAATTGATGTCGGCAGCTAACAAATTAAAACATCAAAAAAATTATGTCCAAACTAAAACAAAATTGCAAAGAGATGAATATAGCACTTGAAACAATGATTCACATAACCCAACTAACATGTACTGATGACTCATTTTACAGCCTCGGTGCTTGAGGAAAGAACCAGATCTTTAGAGCCTTTATAAAGGCTAGCAGAGTTAGGACCATCTAAATCTATACTACTTTATAGGGCTATGTGTGGGAACACTGAGGTAGAATATATACATAATTACACATGCTGCTGTCTTCTGAACCATCTGTAGCTTCTGACCTTCAGCCACAGTCCTATGTAGAGTACATTACAAATGCATGAGTGACTTTGAGCAGGGCCTCCTGATCCAGGAACAAGCACAACTGGTGCAGAAGATTTATGCAAAGGCTCTCCTAGCTCCTGGCAAGAGCCATAAATACAAGAGGACCCACAATTTTCAAACCATTTCCAGCCAGGTATTCCAATCCTATTCAGAACTAAAGATGAAGTTCTCCAGTTTCAGGTGATCTCAGCATCCACAGCCATTTGTTCTTGCTAAGATTGAGCTTCACCTATTTCTATTCAGAGTCCCACAATTGAGTATGTATAACTAGGTGCCTTCAGAATGTTGCCATTGGATGACCTGTGACCTCATGTAAATAATAAATAGAGAGAGCATTGAGTCCTACAGCATCTTTACAAGTAAAACCCTAAAACTCGAGCTCCCTGCCCCATAACCAATACTGATTGTAACCAGTAACCAGTCTTGTAGCCAGGACATGTGAGAATACTGTGCTGTGCCTGCCACTCCCAGCCTTCTGAGTCAGTTCAGAAGAATACCAGAAGATACATTGATTTGTTTGAAAGCTATCAAGAGATCAGAAAGGTCCAGGATGGACAGACCATCCCACTTTCATTCCCATTCAGTCATAGTCATCAAGAACAAAGTCATCAACAATTAATGTATACTGAGTATTCTACTGAGGCCTGAAACCTGATGGGAACTCACATAATCCATTTCCTCCAAGGCCGTCTGAAGGTACAGCCTGAGTGCAAAGAAACAAAAGTAGGAGGTTGGACACTGGACAAAATTTGGGAAGCTCCATCACCAGCTCTACTATGGCATCTAGTAGCTGATATAGTAGCATTCTTCCATCAGATCCTAGAGGCCAGCTTCACAAATAAGGTTCACATCCAGTTATCTTTAGAGTAGCCCCTCTGAAAGTCACATTAACCACTCTACCATCACTACTTTAGGATTATAGCTGGTGCCACACTTGATACGTAGATGGGTACATCTCCAAAGGGCCACATATCCCACAGTGTTTATCAGTGTTCTGGTTATACTTGCCAGGTCAGTCCTCTCATCTTTGATCTTGGATGAGAAGAGACTTATTACAGTAGTGGTTCTCAACCTTTTTAATGCCACGACCCCCAACCGGTCATAAGTCGAGGACTACTCAACCAGTCGTAAGTCAAGGACTACTCAACTGGTGCAGCACTGTTTGCAGAGTGGGAGTTTTGGCGGGCTCAGCAGGGCAGAGACAGCCTGGACAATTCCTATTGGCTTTTGAAAGCCAATAGAATTAGACTCTATTCAAGAGAGTATATTCTATTGGCTTTCAAAAGCCAATAGAATAAAAGGGAGTAGCACAGCTAAGGAAAAGGGGGGAAAAATGGCGGAATGCATTGTTTGGCGACCCCCGTGAAATGGTCGTTCGACCCCAAATGGGGTCCCGACCCACAGGTTGAGAACCACTGTATTACAGGCTAACCTACACACCAGTTTAGCATAGTGGTTTAAAATGTTGGCTTAGAAACCCAAAGACTGAATTTTAGGCTTCCCTTAGATATGAAAGCTGGCAGGGTGTCTTTGGACCAGTCACTCTCAGTCAAACACATCTCACAGGATTGTTGATGTGAGGAAAATAGGCATAAGTATTAGGTATGTTACCATCTTGAGTTGACCAAATATATATTTTAAAAGGTTGTCATTAAAAAAAAAAGGTAGTGTTAAGCAGCATCAGCAGCAGCTGGAAGCTAGGATCACCGAAGATCTTCCAGGCTCTAGGGCTCATTTGAGGAAATTGGAAGATGAAATCAATAGTAAACACCAAACATATCTTCCCCATTAGTGGCCTGCTGCTATCTCCTGTCATATTTCCTTTTGCCTACCAACATCAAAATATTCCTCTCTGCCCTCCCTCCCCATTAGACTAAGGTCCCTTCTTGGTTTTCCTTCTTCCAAGACCCTGGGGTCCATCCAGCATCATAATACTATGTCTTAACCAGCTAGCAATCACTGCATATTCTCACGTTTTAAGTTCCCAATCTAATAACTTAGGTGACATTTTTCTTTTCCAATATTGTGCTAAATTTATCCTTGCTGCCTTAAACATGTACCTTCGTGGAGCGTGATATTTTTGATGGAAACCTTTGGAATTATGCCTAGTAAAAAGAATTGTGGTTCAATTTCAGATTTTATTTTTTAATTTCTTTGAATACTGCTGTGTATTTCTTTCCAGTAATTTTTGAGCTCTTCCCATGGTTGTGTGGCAACTTTTTCTTTAAAGGTGTGCATTAATTTTGTCACACAATTTTTATTGTTTCTGCTTCTATGTCATATCTGAGAGTATTTATATATGTGCTCTACTAGATGGTCTTGATAGTGTATGAGCATTTCAAATCCTGCCATTTTTCTTAAAAGCCTTCTCTCATTTTTAAGGTTATTTTTTATTATTCCAGCAATTTGTAAGTACATGAACCATGACATATACTATCCTTTCCCAAGTAGTTCTTGGTATGTCTTTAGTCTTCTTGTGGAGTTTAAATAGACCATACAGTATCTGCATGTGTATTTGAACTTTTACTTATACCTATCCCTGACATGAAAAGCATTTATTTTAAAAGAGAATAGCAGTGAGATTATTGGATGTAATAATATTTTCGTAATGTTCCATACATTTATCAAACTTTGTCTTATAATATGTTTTATGCATGGTTTGAGATAGGTAATTTTAAACGTTCCTTAATTATTGCAGAAATAGTTTTCAAAAATGGAAAATATCTAAATATATTATAGAACAGGGCTTTATCAGTTTTTCAGTCAGTGGCATAGATCATGTGGAAACACATGATTATCAGTGATGTTAACTTCTGATCTGGATAACTTTAATTTCCATATTAAAACTTCATTGCTAACTCACCCTATAACATAAATAAGCTATTTGTATATAATGGACATTACAAACAGTGAACATTATAACGAATAATATTTCCAGTGCACATATGGATTACAAATATATT